CATGCCATTCACTACCTGCACATCTCCCTACATGCCATCCACTACCTGTATATATCTCCCTACATACCATCCACTACCTGTATATCTCCCTACATGCCATCCACTACCTGCATATCTCCCTACATACCATCCACTACCTGCATATCTCCCTACATGCCATCCACTACCTGCATATCTCCCTACATGCCATCCACTACCTGTATATATCTCCCTACATGCCATCCACAACCTGTATATATCTCCCTACATGCCATCCACTACCTGCATATCTCCCTACATGCCATCCACTACCTGTATATATCTCCCTACATGCCATCCACAACCTGTATATATCTCCCTACATGCCATCCACAACCTGTATATATCTCCCTACATGCCATCCACTACCTGCATATCTCCCTACATGATATCCACTACCTTGTATCCCAAGCTATTACAACTATTTTCATATTCTATGGAAGTACTCCTCCTGTTAACAGGATATATTTGACACCTGGTAGGCAGAAGTACCAGTATATTACAGAAGCAATCCAGGCATGAATACTGAGGATGTGAAAAATAGGCATATTTCTGGTGTTCACTCTTCATACTGTTGTCTGGCTGATTTATATTCTTGTTACTTGTTAAATACAAGGTATGTGCAAACTGAAACTGAAAAAACTTGAAACCAAAACTTGTTTAATTACATTTAGAAGTTTGAGTAGTAAGGAAGGATAACATTCTATATAGATGAACAACTTCTGTATTACAGTGTGAGCTCTCACGGTCATAAAGTTGTTCATCCATATACTGTTATCATTCCTTGTTTAGTACGGTCATACCAGAATTCAGTTAGGGAGTATGGTTTTCCACCTTTTAGCCATGCCCCAGCACAACACCAATGTGGACCCAGGTCTGTAACCGTGTCAGGAAACACACCCAGGCCTTCAATGCTACCTGAGACTATTTCTAACCACTGGGCAGTATTCCTCACCACTCACTCACTCTCCTGTCATTCATTGGTTTATCCATAATGTTGGTATTACTTGACCTGTTTCACAACTAGTCTCTGAAATTAACATATTTTACAGAAAAACAGTTCATAATAAAAAAACAAAATACAAGTGAGTGAGTGAGTTCAGTTTTATGCTGCTTTTAACAATATTCTAGTTATATCACAGAGGGGGACACCAGTATAAAATACGATGAAAAGGAGCCCTGTGACTTTATTTTCTGAAACTTTTCCTGAAACTGTTTGTTTCAGGATCTGTATGACAGTCTACACTGTTGACATCACTGGCAGATAATTACTGACAGTGCTGAAACAGGGATAGTTTACAGCTGTGGGGGAATTAGTCTGCTTCAGCATTTCTTTCAGCAATAATCCTGCATCACGGTGTGAAACACTGAACACCGTAATAATGCTTGTTTGTGAAATTAACCTGTACTTTTAGCAAAACTGTAAGCCGACGACTGATGTTACCCCACCAGACACAAAGCCATTATCACAAATAATTATTGCTTGTCACCAAGACATCGATTGTTCACCTTAACACACATGCAGGGTACCCATTTTGCCTGCAAAACTCAAAACCTTTTTCACCTTTTTTTTAAAACACATTCCCTACAAGACATGGCTATGCCCCGGATGGTCAAGGGGTGTTCAACCTTTAGGATCATGACAGTGTGAACGAGTGCTTGATGAGAAAGATAATCAAAGAGCAAAGGGGTAGAGTTAGGTGTAACCTAGCATCAGACAGACATACTACAGATTGACAATGCACATAAAATCTGTGAAGGCAGTCAGAACTATATAGGCTCCACCTGATGAAATGCACTGCTACTTAACAGCTCCCTAACTTTTGTTGAGTAGTATACCATGTTATAATGGAATCAGACACCTTGAAAACAAACTACATCTGGAAACAGGCGAATGGTGAAATTTGTATTTCATGATGCAAGGGAGATAACTCTGGTAATCATGTGCTCCTAAATTCTATCGAAAACAACAAAACGAATTAGTATATTTAAACATTTATTGATATGTGGCACCAAGAAGTTTTTAATAAACATGTTGAATTGGCATAAAATCTACTTTAACATATTAACCTTAAAGCAGAGTAATAAAATATGTAGCCTTTCCAAGAAAGTTTGAGACAATGTGCTACAGGATGTACAAAGTTACAACCAACCTCCACAATGGCACCTGGTGTTCAATCAGTAACTGTTGTAAAGCACAAACATACGGGAAAAATTTGACACATTAAAAATTCTTTACAATTACGTAGATCTCTGCATGCAAAAACTTTCAAAATTGCTGAACTTAATTTAAACACGGCATACACACTTCCACCAATACAATTAAACTTACACACAATGCTCATGGACACAATGACAAGCCAAAGAAGTGAGAGTTCCAGCGACCATGTCATGAGTATCCTCAAAATCGCACAATTATTTTCTTTCTGATCAGAAAGGGTAACCTGATCCTAATGATTGTGAAGGGGTGCTTGAAATGGAAAGGGTTCCAAGGGCAGAATACCAAGGGAGGTGTAACCTACCATGAGACAAGCAATACTAAGGACTGATGAGGGCACATATCTGTGAAATGTAATGGACAACTGGTGCCAACTGGTGCTAAATACATTGCACCCAGTTAACTGCAATGTTGCCTAGATGTTCCCTAACTAGTGTTGAGTTGTATGATCCATGATGACTGGCTAGGGTAGCCATTGTCAGGTTCCTTGTCCCAGCATCTTCCAGTGTCACTCACAAATATCCAAGTCAACAAAACAAATGAATAAATGAAAGGTAATACCAGGTATTTCTTTTCTTACAACAAATTAAATTACCTGCCATGGATTTGTAGTTTCACATCCCTACTAAATCAGCTCAGAAAAATACACAAAAGTATAGCTCTGAAAACTGGTGCAGATAGACTTTTTCATTGAAGAAAAGATGCATTATTCTTGATTTGGAATTAAGAGGAATAAAATCAGGAATAAAATATTTTTGGTTTAATTGCTGTTTTAAGAGAATTTGTCATCCATGAATAATCCACAGCCTGAACATCAAGAAAGTCAAATTAAGTCACTTCTGCAAGGGTACAACAAAAGTATTAACCTGATTCTGACGAGAATTACATCACTTGTCAAAATATATTGATATAAGTGAATGAAACAACCCCAAAGACCCCTCTCTTTTCTAAACAAACAAAAATCTACAAGAGGGTTATTACAGTTAACTTCGTTTACAACAAACTGACTTGTATAATGGACTGGTTTTGTTTTCATCCCAGCCATCTGCTGTATTCATTGGTCGAAATGCCATTCATAACTACTCGTGTCATTCCGGCAAGCCGGATGGCGTCTTATACCCCTCTCGTGGCCATGTTTACGACTGGGCCCTGACTAAGCGCAAATGGGCATGGAGATGAAAATAGTCTACCAAGGAAAGATAACTCTGAATTTCCAAACATGGCTCCTAGAGTATCCTATATCCAGTGGGTAGAACAGCAATACAGTCATTTCCTTTGTAAATATGTTTCAGTGTTTAAAGTTTCTGATCATTTAGCTCAAAGTTTGTTTAAATTGTGCTTTGCATAGTTTAGCGAAGTTTCAAACTTCAACGGTGCTGCCATTTTCATGCTTCCAAATGTGTTTTTTCTACATGCGATTTGGTTTGTTACGATTCTTGGCAATGATGGCTGACGATAGGGGTACGAGTCTTCTTGTAAGTCACGGAAAGAGGCGAGTAGTTACTAATGTCGAAATGCGTGTAACCAAAACTAAACTTAGTGGTCCCATCAAGTACGCTATAACAGCAGTTTACAATACAATGTTTGAAATGAAGGCATTTGCAGCATGGTGATGTTTTCACCTCAAGTCAAGGTTGTGGAAGACATGTCAAACACAGTACACAGGAGTCTTCCTCATGCACACAGGTAAACACAAGATGCAAAATATGAGCAGACGCGCTTTCCAGACATCAATTTATGAACATGATGTCCTGGTATTAACTCATATTCCTTCTTTAGGGGTAAGAATAAACTCCAAAATGTTGTGTTAAACTGATATTAAACAAATCATGATCATTACTTCTAAATGCCCTTCAGTCTCCAGTCCAGACACAGGACATTATCACTTGTCCTAGTTCAGTAAAAACACACAGTGGCACAGTTCAGAAATGGAACAGTAACTTGGAGATAAGGTAGAAAAGCATTCAATGACTGGGAAGTCTAGGTTTGGTGGACCGGAAGGGTTAGGGTAATAGGTGACCACATAAAGCAGACTAGTTCACAGAATGTACAAGTAAAGAATCCATGGCTGAGTTCTTTGTCTGGCTTGGATGATGGGTGTCAAAGATTGGAGACATTTGAAGTTATCCATTCCAATACATCAATGTGGATGGAGGATTGGAAGAATACACAGCTTCTACAGATCATTAATACAAAGGCAAATAATACTCCGTTGCCTTTACGGTGGTCAGCCAATAATTTCACCTGTGACTGAAATGTCTCACTGGGTCTGTGAATTACATGGATAGCATTATCAGTATCATTAAGACACTTTTCTCTAGACATCACCGAGCAAACCAAAATATTCCTACCACATGGACATCCACTTGAAAGCATGATGTTTCCCTAAACGCTACGTTTACTTCCCTAACCATGAGGTAAACAAGCAATGAAGAACCTAATGCCCTTGTGACAGGCGATCAATAGTAAAGTACTGAAGTCATGTTGAAAATAACCCACTGGAGAGCATTTTCCATACCTGAAGTACAGTATGACTATTTTCATCTCGTACTGACACTGATACTGTACAAGATCAGGTTAATGTTATGTACCACATGAGCAACAAATGAGAGGGATGAAGTCAAAATGTTGATCTCTCATTTAAAGAACTGACTGGAATTAATTGAGAATCTATATATTGTGACCCATCTCATTGAAAGTCTTTCATCCCTTGTGACATCATAAATTATCTCCAAACAATACTGAACAATATTTCCAACAATGCTTTCCAAACAAATTAATAAGAATTTATTTGCTATATCATAACAGCCATCACAGGAAGCCTTCAAACACTGCTCAGTCAGTGTTATTTTACGTTCTCTTCTATCTTTGCAATAAGTTCTTCAGCATCGGTGGACGTCTTCACTCGGAGAAGGATTGGACATGGCTTGTCATTGGCTGCTTTTGGGTCAAAGGGCGGGTTAGGGATGCACACAAAGAACACATTATTTTTTCCTTGCTTCTTGACTGGCATTTGTTCTGACATGATAATGTTCAGCATTATGTTTCCTGCAAAAGAACACAAAACATGGTTCGATGTTTGACAAAATGTTTGAACAAAAATTCAGAAATTCTTGCCATTAAAAACAAGAAGAGATGGTCATCAATATCCCCCGCCACAGTGTTCTGTTCCTATTTGGTTCCTGTTTTTCAACTCCACCATGACATTCATGTCCTGAAAACACATACCAAATTTGTTTTCCCTATCTATAACGGTTACTGAGAAAATCTGTCCTAATTTGGGATACCGTGCACTAAGTCATGAAACGTATGACAAGGGCCATAACTCTGTAATAAATTGTAACACGGTTTCTGATTCCAAACTCCATCAAGGCATTCATGCCCTGAAACACATACCAAATTAAGTTTCCCTATCTCTAACGGTTTTTGAGAAAATTTGTCCCCATCCCGGATGGATAGAGCTCAAACCTATAATAAAGCTTTCAGATGAAACAGGCTTGGTTAATATGTATCCATGTTTCCTTCTAATCAAGTATCCCAATACACGCCTGTCTATATAGTCATCTCAGCACAAAGACACTGAGGCCAGCCAAGATTAAAAGTCAATGACCATCTGGGGGACAACATCTCCAAGGTCGCCTCGGCAACCATCCACTCTGTGAATAAAGATCATCAGGTCTGAATGCCAGGAATTCTATAACATGTTTCAGTTAGTGTTGGGTTGTCAGACATGGATGTTGAAAGAGGTATCTGGTTTTGAGGAGTTCCATGACAGCTCTTCAGACAAAACCAAACTCCACTGATGAGTGAGTGGTATGTGCCACGGCTTGACCATACATTCCCTTACAGACCATTCACAACCCAGATACTGATACCTGCATGGACACATGTTACTCCTAAAGACAATCAATGCTACTACTGATCATGTGACAAACACGGAAGGTGTACCTAGGTTAGTGTCAGCTCGGATGACCAGCTGCAGCTTCTCATTGACCGTCTTGAGATGCAGGTTACCAACGCCACGCTCCACCCACTTCTCATCCTTCTGGTAGAACAGCTTACACCTGTAGGACAGACACACATACACCTGTAGGACAGACACACATACTGCTTACACCTGTAGAACAGACACACATACAGTTTGCACCTGTAGGACAGACACACATACAGTTTGCACCTGTAGGACAGACACACATACAGTTTACACATGCAGGACAGACAGACACACATACAGTTTACACCTGCTCTCAGGATTGATTCTGTGGGAAAACAAGCATGGGGTAGTGGGGACCTATTCTGTGGGAAGACAAGCATGGGGTAGTGGGGACCTATTCTGTGGGAAAACAAGCATGGGGTAGTGGGGACCTATTCTATTGGGAAAACAAGCATGGGGTAGTGGGGACCTATTCTATTGGAAAAACAAGCATGGGGTAGTGGGGACCTATTCTATTGGAAAAACAAGCATGGGGTAGTGGGGACCTATTCTATTGGAAAAACAAGCATGGGATAGTGGGGACCTATTCTATTGGAAAAACAAGCATGGGGTAGTGGGGACCTATTCTATTGGAAAAACAAGCTGCATATTTATTGCAGAAAACCATCCAGCTGGCACAGGGGACCCCCTTCTGTAGTAACATGGATGCAGGCAGGTGTTGGGGCTGCTCACCTCTTGGTGTAGAAGGCATCAGACTCCTGGACTTCAGTCACTTCAGCCATGGGAGGAACATACTCATCCTCTTCAGCACCTGCAACAGGGGAGATAAGCTATAGCTGCGTGACAGCTGCAACAGGGGAGATAAGCTATAGCTGCATGACAGCTTCAACAGGGGAGATAAGCTATAGCTGCATGACAGCTGCAACAGGGGAGATAAGCTATAGCTGCATGACAGCTTCAACAGGGGAGATAAGCTATAGCTGCGTGACAGCTGCAACAGGGGAGATAAGCTATAGCTGCATGACAGCTGCAACAGGGGAGATAAGCTATAGCTGCGTGACAGCTGCAACAGGGAAGATAAGCTATAGCTGCATGACAGCTGCAACAGGGGAGATAAGCTATAGCTGCGTGACAGCTGCAACAGGGAAGATAAGCTATAGCTGCGTGACAGCTGCAACAGGGAAGATAAGCTATAGCTGCATCACTGACAGCTGCAACAGGAAGATAAGCTATAGCTGCGTGACAGCTGCAACAGGGAAGATAAGCTATAGCTGCGTGACAGCTGCAACAGGGAAGATAAGCTATAGCTGCGTGACAGCTGCAACAGGGAAGATAAGCTATAGCTGCATGACAGCTGCAACAGGGAAGATAAGCTATAGCTGCATGACAGCTGCAACAGGGAAGATAAGCTATAGCTGCATGACAGCTGCAACAGGGAAGATAAGCTATAGCTGCATGACAGCTGCAACAGGGAAGATAAGCTATAGCTGCATGACACCTGCAACAGGGAAGATAAGCTATAGCTGCATGACACCTGCAACAGGGAAGATAAGCTATAGCTGCATGACAGCTTCAACAGGGGAGATAAGCTATAGCTGCATGACAGCTTCAACAGGGGAGATAAGCTATAGCTGCATGACAGCTGCAACAGGGGAGATAAGCTATAGCTGCATGACAGCTGCAACAGGGGAGATAAGCTATAGCTGCATGACAGCTGCAACAGGGGAGATAAGCTATAGCTGCATGACAGCTGCAACAGGGGAGATAAGCTATAGCTGCATGACAGCTGCAACAGGGGAGATAAGCTATAGCTGCATGACAGCTTCAACAGGGGAGATAAGCTATAGCTGCATGACAGCTGCAACAGGAGATAAGCTATAGCTGCATGACAGCTGCAACAGGGGAGATAAGCTATAGCTGCATGACAGCTGCAACAGGGGAGATAAGCTATAGCTGCATGACAGCTGCAACAGGGGAGATAAGCTATAGCTGCATGACAGCTTCAACAGGGGAGATAAGCTATAGCTGCATGACACCTGCACCCATGTACATCTGGATCTTTAGCAACAGGTGATTAACTGAGTCGGGTGGACTTAATGAACACGTGTCATTGCACCATATGTGTGAGTGAGTGAGTGAGTGAGTTTAGATTTACAACGTTTGTAGCAATATTCCAGCAATATCAAGGCAGGAGACACCAGAAATGGGCTTCACACATTGTATCCATGTGGGTAATTGAACCTGGGTCTTCAGCGTTACACCATAAATTTGTAGATTGAAGCTCATGTCAATCACGGGACTGTCTGGTCCATTATCTACAGACTGCTGTCATGTAACAAGGAGAGTTCTATGGATATACGACTTCTGGATGTTTTTCAGAGGTTTTCATCTTCAACCTTAATCAAGGAAGAGTAGTGTAGTTAACAGAGAGAGTGAGTGAGTGAGTTGGGTTTTATGCCGCTTTTAGCAATGTTACAGCAATATCACGACAGGGACACCAGAAATGGGCATCACACATTGTACCCATGTGGGGAATCGAACCCGGGCCTTCGGCGTGACGAGTGAACGCTTTAACCACTAGGCTACCCCACCGCCCCAGTTAACAGAGAGAAACAATACAGTACTTGTGGTATAAAACACACTGCATTCAACAGCAGGTGAGAGAAAGACAACATGCAGCAAGGGAACAACTAAGACATGTAGACATTATCGGCACAAGAATATGTGAGGTTGGAGGTTTCAATACATGTCATGGTACTAACGTTATAAAATTAGACTTTTCACCAGTCAAAATCCAACATAAGATGCATATTAAAAGGCTATACAACTATGCAAATGTACTACCAACGTGTCTCACTTGAAAGTATACCTCTTAGGTGAAGACAACCAACAGTACTGTACATAAATGTGGTAGTAGCAAAACACCTAATATTCATTTCCATTTCAATTATTGAAAACCAAGACTCCATTTTTACCTTTCTATAGTAAGCAGATGGGAATTTCACAAAAGACAATCGACTACAAATACGTGGTAAAGAACTGGAGTTAGGACCACCTTGCAACTTATGACCATTTCCTTTTACCTTCACTGCACTGCCCAAATAGAAGTTGCAGCTGAACATGTCAGAACTCTCAGCACAAGTTAAATGTTACTTCCTGACTGCCAACTTTCAGAAGACATTTGAATTTTGGTGTTGACACGGCTAAGACAGGAATGAGTGAGTAAACAGCCATTTGCAATACTGCACCAACACCACGGCAACACCAGTAACCTCACACATTCCTCCCAGTGGGAGAACAGATCAGGGCCCCGTTCCTCAAAGCGATCGTAGGGCTACGACAGTCGTAAGTCTATGTTAAAGTATGGGAGTTACGACTGTCGTAGCGCTACGATCGCTTTGAGGAACGAGGCCCAGGCCTTCCACATGGCAAGAGAGCGCACCAGCCAATAAGCCTCTGCTTGACTTCATCATGAAGAGGGTAAATCATGACATCACTTAGGGACACAAAACTTTGACACCCTGACAAGGCGTCTCTTACCTGCAGTGGTGTCAGTTTTGGGAAGCGAGTTGGACGACGCTTGTGATCCGAAGGAGAAACCTCCCATTGAGGCACTGCTACTCTTGGTGAAACTGAACCCGAAGCCACCATTTCCCGGTGCAGAGCCTCCGAAGCTGCTGCCAGTAGAACTCAACTGCCCAAAACCGTTGCTAGGAAACTTGAACCCTCCAGTTGATGCACCTGCTAATTTGAACATGGGAACATGATCATTATTTGTCAAACATACGACTTGTTTCAAAGCAAGTACACTATGTGCAAAAGGGATAGAGGCAACATTCCACCTATATTACAGCAGCTGTAGACAGAATTTATCCACTCTGAGCACACCCACCCTACAAACCCCCCAACCCCTAAAACAGTGGTTCATATGAGCAATGGCAAACACAATCAGCGCACAATGACACACATTTACATTGAAGTAACTGGGTCTTACCATTACATTTATTTCAATTCCCCTATCTTAAAGGTCACATGCAACGTAAAACACAACATTGCAGATTCTGATACCTTTCGGTATGGACTTACTGTAACAAATTATCCAAAATGCAAATTCAACTTATAAAGTTAAAAAATAACGCAATGAAAACCCCCCTGCGAAATCGGAGTTCAAACGATTCACTAAATTCACCCCAGCTGGGGTGAAAAGTGTTTTCAACAGCTGTGCTGCACTGCGCTCATGGCGCATGCACAGTGAATAGGTTCACACAGCTTGGAAGCGACATTTCAAGACGGAAAACCTTCGCTGGCGTTGAATACTCGGAGTAGGCTTTGATGTGAGCTATTTTTCTTATGTTTTGTTGATATTTCTCACGCATTAGCTTTTTACATGTTATGACAGTAAATTACCGATTTAACTGTTTACATAATTTCATTTGACTATTTCACCACACGTTCTTCTTACCGAGTCACTTTCTCAGTTCAATACTTAAAAGTAACGTCATTATTTAGCATTGCCAGAATGCCTAACTGTGATATAGATGTGCCTCTGTCACAGACAAAACTAAATGTCTGTTTTTGTTTTATTGACACCTATGTGTCTGCCTGCCTGTCTGCTAATGACAATATGCAATACACAACTTTGATCACTGACCACATGCAATTTGAACTTAACACCTATCAGGCTATACACCATAAACAAAACGCATTGATTTATGGCTCGTGCACCAGAGTTCTGTCTCTGTCACATTATGTAATTACACAGACAGGCAGGTGTGATACTTGAACACATGACATGTTATGATGTCTGTTGATTGCAAAATGTTATACACAAAAAATGAGCATGTATTTACACAACCCAACATCTCTATACACACGCAAAGGTTGCATCGGCAAATGAACCAGCCAATAAAAGTCTTCGCACGCCCACCCGCTCTGACTGGGTTCGGTATCCCGGGTGCTTCGTTTCGAGGGAAGTAAAGCCAAGTACAAAACATTGCACTTTCGATTTGCGATTGTACGCTTATAATTTTGTTATTTGATCAGCAATGTATATTATGTCATGAATAAGTGATAATTGTGTTTAAATTATGTTGGTTTTTTGGATTGCATGTGACCTTTAATGAAAGACTAAGAATTTATCTAATAATAAATGAACACACACACCCCACCCGCCCAATTGGCAGTTGAGTTAAAATAAGATCATCAGCAAACTATGCTATTTGTAAGAGCGAATGAGTTGGTGAATTTATTTTTACGCCACTTTCAGCAATATCATGGCAGGGGACACCAGAAATGGACTTTTCACATTGTACCCATGTGGGGAATCGAATATGACGAGTGAATGCTTTGACTGCCAGGCGAGCCCACTGCCCCTATTTGTAAGAGGCCATAGTTGACCTTACTGACAGTCCTTTCAGTAGTGTACAGTTTCCTGTGTCAGTTTCTTCACCTGTGTCCTGTTTCGTCTCCTTGGCAGGCTTTTCCTTTTCAGTAGAGTCAGAGCTGGGTTTCCCAGTTTCTTTCTTCTTCTCTTTCTCCAGTTCCTCCAAATGTTCCTCATAATCCTTGAATATCGGAGTCAATATACAGAATGGGTTCTTGTCCACATGCTGTTGAATCCAAGTCACCACACTCTGGTTCAAACTCTTCAAGTTCATTAAGAATTCAGATTCCGATTTACTGCCACCATTCTCACTTTTAACTGAATCACTTGCTCCTGAATTTGAACCATTTTTGTCTTTGTCTGTTAAGAGAGTCCCACCAAAACTTGGTGTGGATGCCTTTGACTTGAAGCCCGCGAATCCTGTGAACACACTAGCTCCACCTTCCTGGAAACAAATCATCATTGTCATAAAAGTAATGAACATAAAGAAATTAAGTGTGGTCAAGGGGAGACAATTCTGCCAAGAGACATGACATACAAACTTTCAGCACCAGGTTTATGTCAATACAATATAATTAAGATGCATATTTATGGAAATGCTGTGATTATTTAAAGGAAATATACATGTAAAATTTACTGTGATGCCAAATTGTACCAGAAAATCTGAGAAAATCCTGCTCATGCTTACTTCTGGCTCTCCAATGGTGGAGACCACTGACCAGAGCAATCAAAGCGAGGTTCATTTAACCTTTATTTGAAGAATCAGGGGTGGAAATAACCCATTGCCAGACGTCCGAGTCCACTGGGTTTTTGTCGGGCAAGCAAATTTGTATATCATGCTGTATCGGTGTCCAATTGACTTTCCAATGTTAATAATTTTGTTTATTTAAAAAATCAACAAGAAAACGGACGGTATAGTGGAAAACTTATCAGGGCAAGTGATTTTACATGTGCCACTGTACCGGAGTACACTAGCAATTTTAAAGTTATTTCCACCCCTGAGAATATGTATACCATGAACAAGGAATTCAGATACAATATGGTTCTTGGAACAGTTAATTCGAAGAAAATGCTAAGTATTACAGTCAGACAACATCAGTGGCTATCAGACACAGGTTGACAATGCTAGTCCAATTTAATGTTTTAAAACAAATGATATCTTCTATCCCGTGCACAAGTTGACCCCCCTTGAAACCCCCAAATTATACACGTCATGATGGTGAATGCTGTTTTCTGCCTTAAAGTCAGCGACATTCCAGTTCTATGACAGGGTCTGTTGATGGCAACATGTGACCTGGTTCAGAGAAACCTGTAGTCACTTCTGTGTTATTTATTGAAGGTAAACTGAAGAACAAGTTTTACATTGTGTCTTGTAACAGCAGAATGTCTTGTATATACTACACTGAACAGGCTGAGATATACAGTAATGTCACCAACTGTGGTCATTAGGGCTGCACTGTATGCACTATTTAAGAATAGTATGGCTTTCACATTGGAATAGTTTTGGAAGCCATGATCCACAGTCAAGGGAAACACTGAAGATTTATACCAAGTAAGCATTTCATTTCACATACAGGCATGAAACATTCATATCCACCAAGCCTGTCAGGTGAGGACCATGAAACACGCTCTGCTGCAGCCTCAGACTCTGGCTTATGAGTCACAATGTGACAACCTCTGATATGCAACTATGATGGTCTCAATGCTTGATCTGACGAACTTCAACAGACATCAACTATGATTTTAGGTCAGACATTCAGTTTCAGATGTGTCAGAAGTTGGAAGTGTGGATAGATGGATGGCAATACAACTTTCATGCACCTTCATTGCTGTTTACCATTGTACAGTCAGCAAAACTATATACAAACCCTATTTTGAACAAAATGACAATAGTTCATTTTGGAAAACCCTGAGATAGTTGAATGATAATCTGTGGGATTAAACACTAACACTTCCAGCATCTATCCCTCGTCTCTTGGCTTTCTTTATCTGTCGGGTTTTTAGGACATCCTCGGAAGCCTGGATGAATTCTCCAGCCTGAAATGATCAAATTAACACTTGATTTGTTGTAGTTGCCACTTGCAACACCACAGGCTTCACATACTGACTTGACCCGACTACATGGCCTGTTCTACTGTCAGGGTGACCACCTCTACTGTCCTGCATGCTCTAGTTATACCACCTCTACTATCCTGCATGCTCTAGTTATACCACCTCTACTGTCCTGCATGCTCTAGTTATACCACCTCTACTGTCCTGCATGCTCTAGTTATACCACCTCTACTGTCCTGCATGCTCCAATTATACCACCTCTACTGTCCTCCATGCTCTAGTTATACCACCTCTACTGTCCTGCATGCTCTAGTTATACCACCTCTACTGTCCTGCATGCTCTAGTTATACCACCTCTACTGTCCTGCATGCTCCAGTTATACCACCTCTACTGTCCTGCATGCTCTAGTTATACCACCTCTACTGTCCTGCATGCTCTAGTTATACCACCTCTACTGTCCTGCATGCTCTAGTTATACCACCTCTACTGTCCTGCATGCTCTAGTTATACCACCTCTACTGTCCTGCATGCTCTAGTTATACCACCTCTACTGTCCTGCATGCTCCAATTATACCACCTCTACTGTCCTGCATGCTCTAGTTATACCACCTCTACTGTCCTGCATGCTCCAATTATACCACCTCTACTGTCCTGCATGCTCTCAATTATACCACCTCTACTGTCCTGCATGCTCTAGTTATACCACCTCTACTGTCCTGCATGCTCTAGTTATACCACCTCTACTGTCCTGCATGCTCTAGTTATACCACCTCTACTGTCCTGCATGCTCCAATTATACCACCTCTACTGTCCTGCATGCTCCAGTTATACCACCTCTACTGTCCTGCATGCTCTAGTTATACCACCTCTACTGTCCTGCATGCTCCAGTTATACCACCTCTACTGTCCTGCATGCTCTAGTTATACCCACCTCTACTGTCCTGCATGCTCTAGTTATACCACCTCTACTGTCCTGCATGCTCTAGTTATACCCACCTCTACTGTCCTGCATGCTCCAATTATACCACCTCTACTGTCCTGCATGCTCCAATTATACCACCTCTGCTGTCCTGCATGCTCTAGTTATACCACCTCTACTATCCTGCATGCTCTAGTTATACAAGCTCTACTATCCTGCATGCTCCAATTATACCACCTCTACTGTCCTGCATGCTCTAGTTATACCACCTCTACTGTCCTGCATGCTCTAGTTATACCACCTCTACTGTCCTGCATGCTCTAGTTATACCACCTCTACTGTCCTGCATGCTCTAGTTATACCAACCTCTACTGTCCTGCATGCTCTAGTTATACAGTTATACCACCTCTACTGTCCTGCATGCTCTAGTTATACCACCTCTACTATCCTGCATGCTCTAGTTATACCACCTCTACTGTCCTGCATGCTCTAGTTATACAAGCTCTACTGTCCTGCATGCTCTAGTTATACCACCTTTACTGTCCTGCATGCTCTAGTTATACCACCTCTACTGTCCTGCATGCTCTAGTTATACCACCTCTACTGTCCTGCATGCCTCTAGTTATACCATCCCTCTACTGTCCTGCATGCTCTAGTTATACCAGCCTCTACTGTCCTGCATGCTCTAGTTATACCACCTCTACTGTCCTGCATGCTCCAGTTATACATCCTCTACTGTCCTGCATGCTCTAGTTATACCACCTCTACTGTCCTGCATGCTCTAGTTATACCACCTCTACTGTCCTGCATGCTCTAGTTATACCACCTCTACTGTCCTGCATGCTCTAGTTATACCACCTCTACTGTCCTGCATGCTCTAGTTATACATCCTCTACTGTCCTGCATGCTCTAGTTATACCACCTCTACTGTCCTGCATGCTCTAGTTATACATCCTCTACTATCCTGCATGCTCTAGTTATACCACCTCTACTGTCCTGCATGCTCTAGTTATACCACCTCTACTGTCCTGCATGCTCAATTATACATCACCTCTCTACTGTCCTGCATGCTCTAGTTATACCACCTCTACTGTCCTGCATCTCTAGTTATATACCACCTCTACTGTCCTGCATGCTCTAGTTATACCACCTCTACTGTCTACTGTAGTTATGCATCCTGCATGCTCTAGTTATACCACCTCTACTGTCCTGCATGCTCTAGTTATACCACCTCTACTGTCCTGCATGCTCTAGTTATACCACCTCTACTGTCCTGCATGCTCTAGTTATACCACCTCTACTGTCCTGCATGCTCTAGTTATACCACCTCTACTGTCCTGCATGCTCTAGTTATACCACCTCTACTGTCCTGCATGCTCTAGTTATACATCCTCTACTGTCCTGCATGCTCTAGTTATACCACCTCTACTGTCCTGCATGCTCTAGTTATACATCCTCTACTATCCTGCATGCTCTAGTTATACATCCTCTACTGTCCTGCATGCTCTAGTTATACCACCTCTACTGTCCTGCATGCTCTAGTTATACCACCTCTACTGTCCTGCATGCTCTAGTTATACATCCTCTACTGTCCTGCATGCTCTAGTTATACATCCTCTACTGTCCTGCATGCTCCAATTATACCACCTCTACTGTCCTGCATGCTCTAGTTATACCACCTCTACTGTCCTGCATGCTCCAGTTATACCACCTCTACTGTCCTGCATGCTCCTAATTATACCACCTCTACTGTCCTGCATGCTCCAATTATACCACCTCTACATGCATGCTCTAGTTATACCACCTCTACTGTCCTGCATGCTCTAGTTATACCACCTCTACTGTCATGTGTTTTATTCTCTCTACCTCCTCTGGCTCATCTTCCTCATCCCAGTTTCTGTCAGTCAGTTCCCGGGTTGCAGTTCTTTTGGCCATCATCAATCTGAAATATCCAGAAAGCACCTTCACACAATGCTGTACAATCACCCTTTTATGCATGTACATTAAATTATGAATTTAAAATTCCTGCTTGCCCGACCGTCAGGAACGGTCTATTTTCATCTCGGACGGTCAAATTTCAAAAGTAGCCTGTCCGGTGGTCTGGTAGATGTTTTTACCCCTAACAGTAAATATTTCATAACATCAGACAGGTGCTCTTGTTTAGGGTGTTTATGGTATTATGATAAGTATAATAAACTATTTACAATTAGACAGTTCATTTTACAATAACCAATCACATCACATGTATTTTCAGTTTACCTAAACTCTGTTCATTGCCTATCAGTGCTATGTTGTTCATTGCGATGCCTACAAACAGTAAAGTATTCAGAAACTTGATTTTTGTTTTCATTGTTGAAAACCGGACAGGCAAGTTTGTATCCGGACTGGTAATTGTTTTGAAGTTACCAGTTCAGCAGTCTGGCTTGGAATTTTGGGAGTTTTAAACACTGATGTACACAAAATGTGTTATTTAGCTTCTTGGACATAAAGATAATGTGTTAACCGTGCAAACAAACATGACTATTACTCAAAAACAACTCATCACACATGGATTTACTTTCAGAGTTTAGTAACTTCCCAATTGGCAAAACCATTCCCTTTCTATAAGTGTTACAAGATGGATGATGATACACTGTTACAGTATAATACTAATGTCAGTACAGTGGGAGAGAGAGGGATGACTTTCTAATGAAAGAAAAACTGAACGAAAATATCTCAGACAACATGCAATATTGTTAGCTGTCAAAGACAACGTTGATCAAATAAGGTGAGAACCTGATGATACGATCTTGTATTCTACTGTCAACAATATAATGAACACCCAAATCAGTCTCAGGTGAAAAAAAACTGTTGGGAGACAAAGATTCATTCCAACAAGGGTTGTACTCCATAGCCATGGTATGAGAGTCAAACAGGAAACTGCTAAGTCTATTTCAAGGAACTCTTCATAACATTTTTAAAGAAACACACTAGATGAGATAATGACACTAGTTAACTTGTCAGGGAGTCACCAAAGCAGGGTGCATCTGCACTGCGTGAACATATAGGCTTCCTAACACGGCCATTTAGACATGTCGGATAAAATAATGTTTTGTCTTGTGACCGCCACTTTCATGGTGAAATAAATAGGAACCTTCTGGTGTTGTCAAGATGCTATAACCATCATGCCAGTCAACACTACCGCTAAGGACAGCACTATGTCGGTTGACACTTCCGTTATGGACAGCACTATGTCGGTTGACACTACCGTTATGGACACCATTATGTCGGTTGACACTACCGTTAAGGACAGTACTATGTCAGTTGACACTACCGTTATGGACAGTACTATATCGGTAGACACTACCTATTATGTCGGGTTGAGGACCGTTATGTACACCACTATGTTGGTTGACACTTGACACCGGACACCATTATGTACTACCATTATGTTAATGACAGTACTATGTCAGTTGACACTACCGTTAATGGACAGTATGACGGTTGACACTACCGCTATGGACACTATATCAGTTGACACTACCGTTAAGGACAGTACTATGTCGGTTGATGCTACCGTTAAGGACAGTACATCACTATGTTGGTTGACACTACCGTTATGTACAGCACTATGTTGGTTGACACTACCGTTATGGACACCATTATGTCAGTTGATGCTACCGTTATGGACAGCACTGAGTCGGTTGACACTACCGCTAAAGACAGTACTATGTCAGTTGATGCTACCGTTAAGGACAGTACTATGTCAGTTGATGCTACCGTTAAGGAGAGCACTATGTCGGTTGACACTACCGCTAAGGACAGTACTATGTCAGTTGATGCTACCGCTAAGGACAGCACTATGTCGGTTGACACTACCGCTAAGGACAGTACTATGTCAGTTGATGCTTCCGTTAAGGACAGTACTATGTCAGTTGATGCTACCGTTAAGGACAGTACTATGTCAGTTGACACTACCGCTAAGGACAGCACTATGTCGGTTGACACCGTTATGGACACCATTATGTCGGTTGACACTACCATTATGGACAGTACTATGTCGTTTGACACTACCGTTATGGACACAACTATGTCGGTTGACACTACCATTATTGACAGCACTGTCGGTTGACACTACCATTATGGACACCACTATGTCGGTTGACACTACCATTATGGACAGCACTGTCGGTTGACACTACCATCATGGACAGTACTATGTCGAGTGACACTACCATTATGGACACCACTATGTCGGTTGACACTACCATTATGGACAGCACTGTCGGTTGACACTACCATTATGGACAGCACTGTCGGTTGACACTACCATCATAGACAGTACTATATCGGTAGACACTACCGTTAAGGACAATACTATGTCGGTTGACACTACCGTTAAGGACAGTACTATGTCAGTTGATGCTACCGTTATGGACAGTACTATATCAGTAGACACTACCGTTAAGGACAATACTATGTCGGTTGACACTACCGTTAAGGACAGTACTATGTCAGTTGATGCTACCGTTATGGACAGTACTATATCGGTAGACACTACCGTTATGGACACTATTATGTCGGTTGACACTACCGTTATGGACACTATTATGTCGGTTGACACTACCGTTATTGACACCATTATGTCGGTTGACACTACCGTTATGGACACCATTATGTCGGTTGACACTACCGTTAAGGACAGTACTATGTCGGTTGACACTACCGTTAAGGACAGTACTATGTCGGTTGACACTACCGTTATGGACAGTACTATATCGGTAGACACTACCGTTAAGGACAGCACTATGTCGGTTGACACTACTGTTATGGACAGTACTGTCGGTTGACACTACCGTTATGGACACCATTATGTCGGTTGACACTACCGTTAAGGACAGTACTATGTCGGTTGACACTACCGTTAAGGACAGTACTATGTCGGTTGACACTACCGTTATGGACAGTACTATATCGGTAGACACTACCGTTAAGGACAGCACTATGTTGGTTGACACTACTGTTATGGACAGCACTGTCGGTTGACACTACCGTTATGGACACTATTATGTTGGTTGACACTACCGTTATGGACAGCACTGTCGGTTGACACTACCGTTATGGACACTATTATGTCGGTTGACACTCCCGTTATGGACAGTACTATGTCAGTTGACACTACCGTTATTGACACCACTATGTCGGTTGACACTACCGTTATTGACACCACTATGTCCGTTGACACTACCGTTATGGACACTATTATGTCGGTTGACGCTCCCGTTATGGACACTATTATGTCGGTTGACACTCCCGTTATGGACAGCACTATGTCGGTTGACACTCCCGTTATGGACAGCACTATGTCGGTTGACACTCCCGTTATGGACAGCACTATGTCGGTTGACACTATTTCACAACATTTGAAGACAAAATTGTCAGTGAAACGTGGTTGTATTAGTAATGGTGCACTAGTCGGCCATATTATCGATGAACTGATCATACTTTTGCCGAAATTGGAAGATGGATCATGTAATGATAAAATTTACATATATTGTTTGAAACATGTAGTCTATGACACAAATAGATATTAGTTGTCTTAGATAGAGACTGTGTACAAGCAATCAGCAATCAACTGCAGAAACATTTCCTCTTGTGACCTTCCAGTGATTCAGTTAAAAACCCAATTCAAGCAAGAAAATTCATTTAAAACATGTCAAAACCATAAGTATATCGGAAAAATATATAGTCTATCATGTTTACTACTGAGGGTTGGTAAAGAATATTCCTTGACATATCAAAGCCTTTTCACAAATGTTTCAAAGAACATTTAGGCAAATTCAACACAAATAAATAACAAACCCAAAACATAACATCAGGGCTGTGCAAATCATAAAGAGAGGAACTCATTCATTCACTAGAACTCTTGCAACAGAAGCAACCATTATGTGTCCATCTTGCGACCGGTGTACTGTATGCTTACCCAATCATAGTTCAGGAAAAGAAACCTTTCAAAATTTCCCACTAGACCACAGGAGCAGTGAGTGGATAATAATTAGTGGTCCTGTCTGTACTTCATTGGTCAAAAATAACATTCGTAGAATTACCTAACTATCAAAACAAAATTCATTGACCACCAGGACCACTGCAACTTATCATTTAGTGCTCCTGATGAAATTTTACTAGCTAGGGACCACAGGACCAGCAACCACACTGATAGCTAACATACTGTGCTGTGATCACGGCAGGGGACACCAGAAATGGACTTCTCACATTGTACCCATGTGGGGAATCAAACCCTGGTATTCGGCATGACGAGTGAACGCTTTAACCCCAAAGTTAGTCGCCACCCCCTCCAATCTAAACATTGATATGGGATTATATGTATCGTATTAAGTGTACAAATTACACCAATACTGTGCGGTTTGATGACCAGCCACCAGTGAATCACACCAATACTGTGTGGTTTGATGACCAGCCACCAGTGAATCACACCAATACTGTGTGGTTTGATGACCAGCCACCAGTGAATCACACCAATACTGTGTGGTTTGATGACTAGCCACCAGTGTACCAGTGAATCACACCAATACTGTGTGGTTTGATGACTAGCCACCAGTGTACCAGTGAATCACACCAATACTGTGTGGTTTGATGACTAGCCACCAGTGTACCAGTGAATCACACCAATACTGTGTGGTTTGATGACTAGCCACCAGTGTACCAGTGAATCACACCAATACTGTGTGGTTTGATGACTAGCCACCAGTGTACCAGTGAATCACACCAATACTGTGTGGTTTGATGACTAGCCACCAGTGTACCAGTGAATCACAACAATACTGTGTGGTTTGATGACTAGCCACCAGTGAATCACACCAATACTGTGTGGTTTGATGACTAGCCACCAGTGTACCAGTGAATCACAACAATACTGTGCGGTTTGATGACTAGCCACCAGTG